GTTCTGAGCGATGATCTTGATGGTGTTCTTGTTGGCGCCCACCTCAAGAACGTTCGGCTCGAAGCTCTCAAGCTCTCGAGAGGAGCTGGAAGTCGATTTTTTGGAATACCCCCCCGGTTCCCATCGTGGGAAAAACATGATCTTTCGAAGGGACCCCAAAGTGGTGTGGCTCCTCTTGCTTTCCCTTAAAACCACAAAAAAGGGGTACCCATATAAAATGACAAACCCACATAAGTGTCCTTCTACCCAAACAAAAGCTGAGTTTTTGTGGGCTCCTCTTTGATTCGGGGATGGGTATGTGTGTGTGTGTGTGTGTGTGACGTTCTCTACGACCTGAATTGAGTCTTCTCCTTTACATCAGTAGAGGAACATCTTGACCATGGCCCATATTCAAGTACACTCTTTGTGTGTGTACACAGCCTGTTTGACACATACCGAAACCTCTCTGCTCTTCGGTTTGAGGCATCTAGGCTTTCGCTTGGGCCAACTTTGCCGTCTTCTTCCGGGGCGCTGTGCCATCACTGCCGAAGCCCCAGAAGATGCACTGCTTGGTCGTCTCGGGCACGGTCTCCAGGCTCCCGTAGGGCAGGGAGTAGTGGGTGACGTCGTCCTCGTTGTTACAGAGGCTCAGAGCTGATGATGCCGGACTTTGGAGAAACAGCTGGGAAAATGGGAACCAAAAGATTCAAACGCGGGAAAAAGAAACAAAAGAAGGAAGAATGAACGGAGAGGTTTCCTCTAATTGAAGGGGTCCAGGAACGTCACATCTTGGGCTGCGAGTTAAACAGGTACTCGGCGCCATGAAACAGGCGTTCATGTAATGGTCTGTCAAACCCCGCCAAGCGAACTTCCATCCTGGAGGGGCCGGAAGTAGGGTCGGACCCAGAAATGGGTGTCTTTTTTAGGCCCCAAAGAAAGACACGCCCAAAAAGATTGCGGGGTTTATCCCACCTGCCAACTGCTGTTGGTTGGAGTGTCCATCAGCAGCTGTTTCGGGCCGAAGACCGACGCCCCTGAATTTAGGCCCTTGGGACCTCTGGAAAGTTCCAGCCCAGCCATAGGAATGCCCAAGAAGATCTCCCATGCTTCTTGAGAACGAAGGGCCACCACCGGTTTTTGACTCCTTGCTCTTTAAAGGCCGGCACGCCGGCAGGGCCTGCTTGAACCTAGTGGGCGAATGTCAAAATAGGGGGTACCCCCCTTTTCAAAAGGCGGCTGTCCTTTGGTTTCCCTTTGCTTCAACTGGCGACATGTGTGTTCACCATGATCCCCACAACTTCAGAAACTGGAATGGGTGGTTTCCTGTAGCCTACCACTTGGGGGGGGGACTTTTATATAACAATGATGAAGCCAGGTGCTTCTTGTTCTATGAATCGGACCCAAACAAATGGCGGTGTTCCTTGTGGTTTCCCTTTGAAACCAACCAACCAACCAACCAACCAACCAACGCACCAGGGGACCAGCCCCGGCAAAAAGACAGCCACCTGTCCCAGGACAAAACTAACACTTCTTCCAAAAAGTTGGGTACCAACTCAAAAAAAAATGGAAGAAAAAAAAGGAAGAGAAAAAAAAAAAGGAAGGGCCCAGTCCAGCTCAAAAACCGTCAGTCCTCCAGGCCCACAGTGAAGGGGTGCTGGAAATTTCTGCACCGCCTGCAAGGCGCGTGACCCAAAACCGCGCACAGCGGTCCATTTTTGTGTTCCCAAAAATGGGTGTGCCGTTTTTCTGCGGGCAGCCTGGCGAAAAAAAAGAAAGCAATCCAAAGGAAGACCCACCACTTGTTGGGGTCCGATTCCCAAGAGACACAGCCATAGTTGTTCTCGTTAAACATCGCGAAACCTAAAGGAAACTCGCCCATAAACTGACCCGAGAGGTGCTGTTTAACTGACCCAAAGGGGAAGTCTATTTGGAACCCGGGCCTCGTGATGCCGGAGCTTGATGATTTCGGAGCCGTCCGAAATCGGAGCATTGCCCGCCCCAACTTAAAAACGCAAACACAAATGGGGGGGGGGGTCATTTTAGGGACCTCCAAGGTTGCAAAGGGAAACTAAAAGGAAATCCCCGAGGGCCCTACTGCAAACCAATAGCCTGGGTTGCTCCCGAAAAGGAATGCGATTTTGGACACAACAAGACCTGATGATTGGTGGTGCACACACAAATTGTCAGCCTCACCATGCTAAAACAAAAGCTGGGTGGTTTGCAGGATATGCCCTCCTTCGGGGTACACAGAAAAAAGTTATGCTCCTGTTTCACATTTGAGGGTGTTTTTAGCAAGTATCCTATATGTTGTGGTTCCAAAGGGAAACCAAAAAGGGACGCCGTGGCGCCATGTTGAGAGTATCCTAAAGACACCCCCCATTAATGGTCTACTCTAAAAAAAATAAAACAGTTTTCAACACAGACGAGCCAGTTCTTCCACAAGCCGCAGGTTCCGGTAAATGGCGTCCACCATGCCCGGCGTAAAGTCCTTGCTGGAGAGACCGTAGCGGCCGTTGATGACCTGCAGGACTCGAAGGCTCCTTCTTTCACTCACTCCCAGTTCGGACCCAGAAATACAAGGTGATCACCTTTTGGGGTGATTAAAACTAGACCAAAAAGGAAAAACCAAAAGGTCAGATTCGGTCGATTCGCTTTGGGCAACTGAGTTAAACGTCCCATTTGGGCGTGAAATTCTGTTTCACGCGTTGAAGCCCCCAAAGTCTGGGTGTGCGTCTTGAGAACACTGCAAAAACCGCCCTTTCGGATCGGATCGGTTCATCTTTTTGGATTCGTCTTGGGTTGGTGCAAAGGCAAACCAAAGGGCCACTCCTGTGGGTCCCCAAATTTCGGACCAGGAAAACCATCCGCCTTTGAGGCTCTCCCCAAGAAAACCAGGCGCCGGGCTTTCCTTTGGAGAAACAAATTCGAAAATTGGGAGAGAAACATACGCTTGGCTTGGGCACGAATATACATGGGTGTCTCTGAATGGCGAGCCACCTCTCTCTCTCTCGCGCAAGTACAAAAGAAGCAAAAAAATCGATGGACTCATCAAGATGAATTGCATGAAAAATAAGCCTTCGTTGAAGTAGGGTGAAAGGGATTGATTCAGAATGTTAAACTGATCAGTAGGAAAGAACCAGCAGGCTGAATTCAATTGGGAGCTTCCGCTGCAGCCCAAACAACCTTGCAAAAAGACAATATATATATATATATATATGTATGTATTCATTTATTTGTTTTAAAAGAAGGACACGATAGTAGGGCAAGGTCAAAACAAAGAATCACCAAACATGAGACGGCTTGATGGAAGTCCAAGGCAGCTCACCCCATGTGCGACATATCTTAATGTCAACAGAAAGCAACACCATGGCTGGTTGTCTCAATTCAAAAAGAAAGCCCGTCCACTAAAGCAAGTTGCCGTGTTCTTCAAATGGACACCTACTCGCTTCTTGGTTGGCTCAATGTCACAAGGAAGTCTCCCTCGTGTTCTTTCAAATGGAACGTAAGCTCCGTTGACTTGCTTTCAGTAGACTGATTCACCCATTGGCTGGCTTAACTCAAAACCAAACCCAGAGAAGTGTGTTTGCCCCACACAGAAGCAAATCAGTCCCTTTGTTGGTCTCAATTGCCTTTTGGGGGCCCAAATATGCACGGTTATCCCTTTTGGGCCCATGACTAAAATGGGCCAAAACGGGGAAACCAAAAGGTTAAAAGGTCGATTCGCTTTGGGCAAGTGAGTCATAACCAAAACCCGGTAATAAAATGGTCTACCCAGAACTCCCAGAACCATGCTTTACGAAACGAAAAGGCTGCGGCACCCATTAATGGCAAGGGGATTGTCCCTTACCCTCCTACTGTGGATGGACGAAATCCATTTCGCACTAAGAAACCCTCGAATGAGGAATTCCCCTGTAAATACCAGCCAACGATGGCTTCCCAATGTTTCAAAGTCGTCCAAGATTTCGTCCATCCAGTATCACCCGGGTGAGGCGCGACTCAAGAGAGGGTTGCCTCGAATAATATCTCCAGTAGTAAATTCGATTCCTTTTAAAACCAACAGGGGAAAAATTGACATGTGTTTGTTTCAAAACCAACAGGGAAAAATAACCGACCAGGAGAAATCCAACATATGTCCAATGTTTAAAACCAACAGGGGAAAATCAAAATAGGACAAAATAAAAAAGTTCCTTTCTTAAATGCCCCCTGAAAAAATAAACATATGTCCAGTAGTGAAATCGATTCCCTTTAAAACCAACAGGGCAACATAAAAGAAAAAAGTTCCTTTCATCAAATACAAAAACACAGTATGTCCAGTAGTGAAATCGGGTCCCTTTAAAGCCAACAGGGGAACATTTAAAAAGAAAGAAAATGGTTCCTTTCATCAAATACAAAAATATATATGTCCAGTAGTGAAATCGATTCCGTTTAAAACCAACAGGGGAAAATAATCGACCGGGAGAGTCCAATTTTGAAAAACCAACCAGGGAAAATCATTCCTTTTATCAAATACAAAAAGTATGTCCAGTAGTGAAATCGATTCCTTTTAAAACCAACAGGGAGGGGAAAAACAAAAAAAAAACTATCATCAAATACAAAAAATATGTCCAGTAGTGATATCGATTCCCTTCAAAACAAAAAAAAAGTTCCTTTCATTAAATACCAACAAAAAACAATATGTCCAGTAGTGAAATCGATTCCCATTAAAACCAACAAATGAAAATCAAAACAAAAATGTCCAGTCGTGAAATCGATTCCCTTTAAAAGCAACAAAAAAACATTATTTAAACAACAAAAAAGTTTCTTTCATCCAATAGAAAAAAATGTCCAGTAGTGAAATCGATTCCCTTTAAAACCAACAGGGCAACATAAAAGAAAAAAGTTCCTTTCATCAAATACAAAAACACAATATGTCCAGTAGTGAAATCGGGTCCCTTTAAAGCCAACAGGGGAACATTTAAAATGAAATCCTTTCATCAAATACAAAACACAATATGTCCAGTAGTGAAATCGATGTCCCTTAAAAAAACCAACAGGGGAACATAAAAAAAGAAAGAAAAAGGTTCCTTTCATCAAATACTAAAAAAATATGTCCAGTAGTCAAATCGATTCCCTTTAAAACCAACAGGGGAAAATAACCGACCGGGAGAGTCCAATTTTGAAGACCAACCGGGAAAAATCAAGAAATATAAAAGTTCCTTTCATCAAATACAAAAAAAATATGTCCAGTAGTGAAATCGATTCCGTTTAAAACCAACAGGGGAAAATAACCGACCGGAAGAGTCCAATTTTGAAAACCAACCAGGGAAAATCATTCCTGTTATCAAATACAAAAAGTATGTCCAGTAGTGAAATCGATTCCTTTTAAAACCAACAGGGGGGGAGAATAAATTAAAAAAAAAAAAAAAAAAAAAAAAAAAAAACTATCATCAAATACAAAAAATATGTCCAGTAGTGATATCGATTCCCTTCAAAACAAAAAAGTTCCTTTCATTAAATACCAACAAAAAACAATATGTCCAGTAGTGAAATCGATTCCCATTAAAACCAACAAATGAAAATCAAAACAAAAATGTCCAGTAGTGAAATCGATTCCCTTTAAAAGCAACAAACAAACATTATTTAAACAACAAAAAAGTGTCTTTCATCAAATAGAAAGAAATGTCCAGTAGTGAAATCGATTCCCTTGAAGACCAACAGGGGAACATGAAAAAAAAGAAAACAGTTCATTTCATCAAATACAAAAAACAAATGTCCAGTAGTGAAATCGATTCCCTTTGAAACCAACAGGGGAACATTTAAAATGAAATCCTTTCATCAAATACAAAACAAAATATGTCCAGTAGTGAAATCGATGTCCCTTAAAAAAAACAACAGGGGAACATAAAAACAGAAAGAAAAAGGTTCCTTTCATCAAATACAAAAAAAATATGTCCAGTAGTGAAATCGATTCCCTTTAAAACCAACAGGGGAAAATAACCGACCGGGAGAGTGAAATTGTGAAAACCAACCGGGGAAAATCAAGAAATATAAAAGTTCCTTTCATCAAATACAAAAAATATATATGTCCAGTAGCGAAATCGATTCCCTTTAAAACCAACAGGGGAACATTGAAAAAAAATCTGTTCATCAAATACAAAAAATATGTCCAGTAGTGAAATCGATTCCCTTTAAAACCAACAGGGGAACATTGAAAAAAAAAATCGGTTCATCAAATACAAAAAAAAATGTCCAGTAGTGAAATCGATTCCCTTTAAAACCAACAGGGGAAAATAACCGACCGGGAGAGTTCAATTTTGAAAACCAACCGGGGAACATAAAAAATGAAAGAAACAGGTTCCTTTCATCAAATACAAAAAAATATATGTCCAGTAGTGAAATCGGTTCCCTTTAAAACCAACAGGGGAAAATAACCAACCGGGAGAGTCCAATTTTGAAAAACAACCGGGGAAACTCATTCCTTTCATCAAATACAAAAAAAATGTCCAGTAGTGAAATCGATTCCCTTTAAAACCAACAGGGGAACATAAAAAAAGTTCCTTTCATCAAATACAAAAAAGAGTATGTCCAGTAGTGAAATCGATTCCCATTAAAACCAACAGGGGAAAATAACCGACCTGAAGAGTCCAATATTGAAAACCAACCGGGGAAACTCATTCCTTTCATCAAATACAAAAAACCATGTCCAGTAGTGAAATCGATTCCCTTTAAAACCAACAGGCGAACAAACACAAAAAACGGTCCTTTCATCAAATACAAAAAAATATGTCCAGTAGTGAAATCGATTGCCTTTAAAACCAACAGGGGACAATAACCGACCGGAAGAGTCCAATTTTGAAAACCAACCGGGAAAACTCATTCCTTTCATCAAATACAAAAAATATGTCCAGTAGTGAAATCGATTCCCTTGAAAACCAACAGGGGAACAAGCACAAAAAAAGTTCCTTTCATCAAATACAAAAAAAATATGTCCAGTAGTGAAATCGATTCCCTTTAAAACCAACAGGGGAAAATAACCGACCGGGAGAGTCCAATTTTGAAAACCAACCGGGGAAACTCATTCCTTTCATCAAATACAAAAAAATATGTCCAGTATATAGTGAAATCGATTCCCTTTAAAACCAACAGGGGAAAATAAAAAAAGAAAGAAAAAGGTTCCTTTCATCAAATACAAAAACTATATATGTCCAGTAGTGAAATCGATTCCCTTTAAAACCAACAGGGGAAAATAACCGACCGGGAGAGTCCAATTTTGAAAACCAACCGGGGAAACTCATTCCTTTCATCAAATACAAAAAAAAATGTCCAGTAGTGAAATCGATTGCCCTTAAAACCAACAGGGGAAAATAACCGACCGGGAGAGTCCAATTTTGAAAACCAACCGGGAAAACTCATTCCTTTCATCGAATACAAAAAAATATGTCCAGTAGTGAAATCGATTCCCTTTAAAACCATCAGGGAAAAAAAAAAGTTCCTTTCATCAAATACAAAAAAATATGTCCAGTAGTGAAATCGATTCCCTTT